AGTACACGATAGAGCCGTGTGAACAAGTCCTTGGGAGTCAGTACTGTGTACGGTGACCATCCACCACCCAAAATATTATTCAAAGGGGCGAAGTGACGAGGGCATTCCTGGCAATTGCAACCTACCTCTTTGTGGCTTAATCTACTTTTTTGTTTGTTTTTCTCTAATTTTTTATTTTCCTATTTTTATAATAAATTATTTAATTTTATCATATTCTTTTCCATCCCTCAGTCCCTCCTAGATTCACTCCACCTCCCTACCCAACTAACTTTATGCTTTCTCTCTATCTCAAAAAAAAAGAGAGAGAACAGAAAAAAATCCCCAAATTCCAATCAGACAAAGCAACAAACAAATCAAAAAGTGCAAGCACACACACAAACACACACACATACACACACCACACTATACACACACCATACAACATATACATACTCTCACACATACACACACACCACACACACATATACACACACACTCACACCACACACATACACCACACATACACACACCACACACATATATACATACACTCATACCACACACATACACACACACACACACACACCAATAACACCATAATCGTGGTAGCAGTAATGATGCATAACCGTTAAATTAGTGCCAACACGTGAAGACTTCATAGCTTCTCTCAAAAAGGCCAGAATCCCACCACTGCCTTGCCTGTGTTCCCCACTGGCAGCAGATGCTTTAAGAAAGTGTCTGCCCCTTTAAGAAAGTGTCTGCCCCTTTAAGAAAGTGTCTGCCACTTTAAGAAAGTGTCTTGGTTTGGTTTCCATTGCTGTGATAAAGACCATAACCAAAAGCGATGTGGGAGGAAGGAGTTTATTTATCATACACGTCCCACTCACAGTTCATCACCAAGGGAAGCCAAGGCAGGCACTCAAGCAGGGAAGGGACCTGGAGGCGGGGACTGAAACAGAAGCCATCCAGGAACACTGCTTACTGGCCTGCTCTCCCTGGGTTCCTCAGCCTGTATCACGCTACTGCAGTGCCAGCCCTCGGTGGCACTGTCCACAGAGGGCTGGACCACCTACATTACTGTTAATCAAGAAAACACCCTGCAGACTTGTCTGAAGATCACTCTAGTGGGGGCAGTTTTCTCATCTGAGGCTCCTCTTCCCTTGGTTCTGTCAAGTTGATTAAAAAGACAAACCAGCACACAAGGAAAGGGGACTCCGTGGGTAAGCACTGTCCCCTTCTGAGGCTTGGTTTCCTCACTTTTGATCAGAGTGGCCATGATTCTCCCTCCTGACACAGCGTGCTAACATGCTGACTTAACTGTCCCATGATCCTTATTCCACAGATGCTGGGGCTGCCTTTGAAGCCCCTCAAGAGTGTCACAGTGGTGTGGATACTGCACCCCTGGGGCGTGGAGAGATAGCTTAACACAGCAGCTCTCGATCTTCCTAATGCTGTGACCCTTTAATATGGTTCCTCATGCTGTGGTAACACCCCCCCCCCAAACCATTATAAAATTATTTCCCTTGCTACTTCGAAACTGTGCTTTTGCTACTGTTATGAATCTAACATAAATATCTGTGTTGCCAATGGTCTTATGGAATCCCTATGAAAAGGTCGTTCATAACCCACGGGCTGAGAACAACTGGCTTAACTGTTAAGATCATGGACTTCTCAACAGGGGCCCTGAGTTCAGTTCCCAGCACCCACGTAATAGCTTAGAGCCATCCATAACTCCAGGAGATCTGACACCCACTCCTGGCCTCCACAGGCAGCAGGCTCATATGAAGAATAAACACGTGCAGGCAAGCAGTCATACCCATAAAGCAGCAAGAAATGAATATTGTTTTTTTTTAAAGAGAACACAAGATCATGTTTTAAAAGCTTTAACAAAAAAAAAATAGTAATACAGCAAAAAAACACAGTCCTAACAAAAATACCATAGAAAAAATAGGGACGAACCTATGAAGGGCTGAGGATGGACTCTGGCTTGACCCTACCCCTCCACGTATATGAGAGCAGATGTTAAAGTGTAATGGGCAGATGGCATTTTATGGCTCAGGTCATTTCTTACATCTTCCCCTGTGGCCTTTGAATTGAGAGGCCAAGACAAGAGGAGAAGATAAGAAGTCTGCAGTGGCCAGAGAGTGAGGCCCCAGTCTCCAAGGACAGAGCACTCCAAGACCTGGGGTCTCCCTGCCTTAAAAGGCACAGGAATTCCTGAGGAGAAAGCCAGCTGGCGATAGGAGGTCTGTATGCCAGGAATATCAAGGTCACCATGTCACAAGCTAGTCATGAGCACTCTCTCCAAACCCTCCCTCCAGTCTGGGCGACAGGCATCTGTCTGGAGCACAGCTTGGTTCACACAGGGGTCACGGATGCAGCAGCCACAGCTTGGTTCCTGGGGCTCATGACCTCTCGAGACTGCCAGGGAAGTGTCCTTGACCACCTCGGGGTGTGGAGAAGTCGGGCATTCATGGGAGTTCAAAGAATCCTGGGACCCAAATAACTCAAGGACAGTAGTAATTCAGAGGGTGATCCATGACAGGGTTCTGATGTAGAGATTCCTGCCTCCCATCCCCAACACACACACACACACACACACACACGCAGAGGAAATGAGCACTTGAATCAGACAGAGTCAAATGTGTCTACTGAGAACAGTCAGTGCTGTGGGTATTGCTTTTCATTAGATTGTGTTGTCTTTAAATCTTTATTATTGTTTTATATGTGTATGATGTGTCTGTGTGTCTGTGTCTGTGTGTACATACCGTGTATCATGTGGAGGAAGGAGGACAATTCTCTGTAATCTGTCTTCTCCTCCCAGATGGGTTCTGGGGATCAAACTCTGGTCACCTCTATGTGCCAGCCCTGTGTTCAGCTTTCCAAAACTGTGTCTCAGTGAGTGTTCCACACCCTCCAGGAGTGCCCAGCAGGTGAGCTTTCAAGGTATCAGGGATCGAAGGAGCCTTGTATCTTCAGGAGGCTGCCGGAGAAGGAGAAGGCTGGTACACTGGACAGTGATTCCCCATGCTCTCAGAGCCAGTGTCCTGAGGAACCTTTGTCTGCTGCAGAGTGTGGCTCTGATGCTCCACTCCCATAGTTCCCTCTGGCTGGGGGGAGAAGGAGGGGCAGCAGATACTGCATTAGCTGGCTAGACTGTTTTATCAAAGTCTCCCAAACAACAGGCGGGCATTGTCCCATGTTCTCAAAGCTGAAGTTTGAACCAAGGGCTTAGGAGGGCCTCATGTCCTTGAATGGTCACAGGAACAATTGTTCCTTTTTAGACTCCAGTGGCCATCTGTCCTCCGGTTTCCTCGGCTTTTGTCCTTGTCACTCCAGTCTCTGTCTCGGCATCTCATGGTGTTCTCCATGTGTGTCCCTCTTGGAAGGTCATGAGTCCTACTACATAGAGCAGGACCCACTTCAGTCGATCACTGAAACTCGATTTTCAAACAAGGCAACATTCACTAGGACTGGGGGTTGGAGCCTCAACGTGTCTTTTAGGGACATAATTCACCTGACAAGTCAAGCCTGACACCTCGAGGACGGTGCCACGCCCGCCCCACATGTTCCCAGTGTCCACATCCATACCTTCCCCTGGGCCCTGTGGGGTGGGCGGGTAGCCACTTTCCTTCAATGATAACTGCACACCTTGTTCATGGTCTCTATTCTGGAGGAGTTGTTTTTATTTCCTCCTCTGTCTCAGCCCTACAAGAAGCAATTTCTGTCCAGATTGAACTGTAAGGAGCATCGGGAGGGTGTGCACATGGGGGTGAGAGTAGTGTGTGGGGGAGTGTGTGTGGGCATGGGGGGAGTGTGTATGGGGGTGGGGGAGTATGGGGGAGGAGTAGGGGAGTATGTGGAGGGTAGGGGAGTGGAGGGGAGTTTGGAGAGTGTGTGTGGGTGGGAGAGTGTTGTGGGGTGGAGGGAATTTGGGGGTGAGTGTGGAAGGGGGAATGTGCTTGGGGTGGGGGAGTATGCATGGGGGTGAGGGTATTGGAAAAGGAATGCAGGAAAGGTGTGTAATAAGGGAAGAGTGGGAGACAGGAAGACAGAGGACAGTATCACAGCTGTGAACATGACAAGGACAGAGCTGACGCTGTTTAGATATTGATTCCGTGGCTTTAGCAGAGACCAAAATAAGCAGTAGCCCCAGGGACTGTGGGTGAATGGCTTTCTTATGAACCTGACAGGTGAGCAGTACAGGAAGGCCCTGCCTCCTCCATACCACCTGAGAGTGTGTCACTGCCTCTATCAAGGCTGCCTCAAATGTGTCAGTGTCATTAAGTGGGACAGGGAGGACCAAGAGCACAACTTTCCCAGGACAGGGAGGATGGAGAGCACACCATTCCCAGGACAGGGAGGACAGAAAGCATACTCTTCCTAGGATAGGGATGACAGAGAGCACATACTTCCCAGTACAGGGAGGATGGAGAGCACAACTTTCCCAGGACAGGGAAGACAGAGAGCACACCATTCCCAGGACAGGGAGGACGGAGAGCACAACTTTCCCAGGACAGGGAAGACAGAGAGCACACCATTCCCAGGACAGGGAGGACGGAGAGCACACCATTCCCAGGACGGGGAGGACGGAGAGCACACCATTCCCAGGACGGGGAGGACGGAGAGTACACCATTCCCAGGACAGGGAGGATGGAGAATATACCCTTCCCATTTTAAAACCTGCTTACAAACTGGACTCATCATGTTCCCGTCTCGCATCAGAATGTAGTCACATAACACGGCTAATGAGATTTGGGGAAACTCAGCTTGTATTCTCAGAAGCCACGTTGTCTGGGGCCGTGCTAGATTTACAGAGACAAGGGCAGGCGCTGCAGAATAAATTGATTGTCGACTATAGAGAGAATGCGATTTCAGAAAGCTGGTGTCATTAATTCACCCCTCACAATCTTTCACAAAAACTCAGTGGTACCCCTACAATAAAGACCATGGCAGGCATGTGACTAGAAAGATCAGCCTGCCACCTGTAGGGCTTGTCTATCCTTAACCAGCTATGGGACTCATGACAATGGCTTCAGTTCAGGCAGGTGTGCGGCAGGCTGTTCTACAGCCACCTGGTTTTCAATGACATAGCAAGCTCTGAAGCTCTCCAGGACGCGGGCCTGGAAGAAGGCCTTGCCTTTCTCCTGCCAGGCATCTGACTCGATGTACACGTTGAAGGGGTCATGGGAGTGCTCCAGCTTCTTGGATCGGATGTAACTCAGCATGATGCCCAGGGTGAAGAAGCCAAAGAAGCCCAGCACCATGAGAATATAGAGTGCCTCCAGCTTGCTGTCATCCCGGAGCTGAGACCTACGAGCCAGGCCCGACACGTTGCCGTCCTGTTCAGCTGTCTCCTGCCACAGCGAGGCCAGAAAGGGCAGAACAGTCGTGGAATTGGACAGGGTCATCCTGGGTATCAAGGTTTTCCCGATGCAGAGCAAAACTCCTGAAAGGAAAAATGCAACTTGGAATCAAGAAGCATGACTGGCTATCCCCACCCCATGCACACGGTTCTTTAGAGTCTTGGGTGACAGGCACGAGCAGACATCCTCCCATGGCATGGGCTGTCAGGAGTCTCACTGACCTGTCAATCAATTGGTAACTCGACCCCCTATATTTCTGCTCAGCAGTCCTCCCGCTGTCTATCAGGGAGCCACTGGGATGAGTTTCATCAATATATCTTACTTTACATTTCTCTTACCTCTTCCCATTATCACCGACTTTACGGCCCATTAATATTGCTGCTTGCATGTGCATTTCCTTACACTCAACCACCATCAAACACTCATTTCTCTCTCTGCCCACTCTCCCTACAGAAGAAAACTATGGTGGCCACTCCCTCCATAAACAAAGCAGATGGCCGGGCAAATCACTCAGTGTGTGAAAGTGCTGGTTAAACCTAGGCCTGACGACCTGAGTTCCATCCCTGCCACTCACATGATGGAGGGAGAGAACTGACTCCTCCAAACTGACCTTTGGCCTCCACATGTGTTCCCCCATCCCCAACGTACACATACATATGCACAAACACAAGATAATTAAATTAATGTAATTTGAAAACCTTTAAAGGATAAAAATAGCACCAGAAAAACAGAGGCAGGAGGATCCCTGTGAGTTTTGGGTCTATAGAATGAGTTCTAGGCCAGCCAGGGCTACATAGAGAAATCCTGTCTCAAAAAAAAAGAAAAGAAAAAAGAAAAAAAATATAGTATACACCAAAGAGAGACAAGCAGCCTCGTTCTGGGTCTATGCATCTGAAAATGACTTGTATATTCACAGCACTTCTTGGTGGCTGCAGTGATTTAAGTGAGAATCTCCCCCATAGGTTCACATAACTGAGCACTTGGTCCTGGATCTGTAGCACCGTTGCAGGATGTTGGAGAACTTTTAGGAGATGACGGCTTGGTGGAAGAAACACAGCACTTGGGGAGGGCTTTGAAGATGTACAGACTTGACCACTTCTGGTTCACTCTCTGTTTCCCGTATGCAGATGAAGATGTGGTCGCTCAGCTTCCTGTTCCAGTTGCCTGCCGCCATGTCTCCCCCACCATTATGGACTCTCCCTCTGGAACTGTAAGTCAAGAGAAGCTCTTTCTTCCATAGGCCATTTGTGCTCTCTGCGTTTATCACAACGACAGACTAGGAACTACAGAGGTTTCCATAACCACTCAGCCGGAGGCGCTGTCCGGGCACCTTCAGATGGAATATGCAATGGGTGATTGCTATAATGAGAATGTGTCCCCAGAGTCCACATGTTGGGAAGCTGGTTCTCAATGTAACAGAGTTGAGCAAGAAACTACCGGAAGGTGATTGTGTCACAAGGATGCTGTCCCTTGTGAATAGACGAGGGCCTTTATTGTCCAGTCCCTCATTCATAGATTTAATGGGTTATCCTTAGCTAACGTGCTCTGTGTTGCCACGTCATGGTGTGGTACGAGATGCTTTACCAAATACAGAATACATGACCACACCACAGTGTTGGACGTCTTCAGAACCATGACATGCACAAAGCTTTGTTCCCCATAAACTATGCAGGCATAGTACTTGGATTTGTGAGAGAACGGGCTGGGATTGGGGGGCCGTTTCTCCATGGACGTCTCTCTGAGCGGGGGCTGGGTTCCCCGAGTGGAAGCCATATGCTATACGTAGCACCCAGTGGAAGGTGTGCTGAGTTTCCAACACTCCAATCTGGGGACCTGGTAGGTGTTCAGTGTGTTAACCTTCCTTCCCCGATCACCTCCTCCAGTGAATGACTGGTGCGCCCCTAAAGACCACACCACTCCTGGCATCACGATTTCTCATCTGAAAGCCCAGGTTTGCTCACTGTGAGAAATGTCTCCAAGTAACTGTAGGATTCTATTAGATATTTTATGTGTCCTAAGAACTCTACCTAGGTGACCATCAGATCACTGATGAGTGAAAACTTCTAATCCTTTGGGGTGGGTGTTGGGTAAGTACCACCTTCTACCCCTCTCTCCTTTTTAGAAGCAGAAGCCTAGAGATGTGTAGTTCAACTCACAAATGACCACTAGGAGTTTGTCAGGCTTAAGGTGGTCCAACCTCATCTCCTAGGAATCTCCTGGCAGCTAAGTAGAATATGCCCATGTGGTACCCTTAGTAACTTTTGTAGCTAGAGGCAAAGGCATGTTTGGGACACAGTTCCTGGCCAGAATCACCATGAAAAGGAAGTCTAACATACACCAGGGCAGCTCAGCCTTCTCCAGCTAGCATGGGGACTGTGACATTGACCAAAATCATCCCTGGGGCAATCAACAACCCCAGAACTCCCAGCCCACTCTGGGTTAGACCTATAGCTACTTCTTTGTAGAACTGGCTTAATTTAAAAGTGAACCTGAGAGGCTGGTGAAATGGCTCAGTGGTTAAGGGTGGATGCTCCTCCAGAGGAGCCGAGTTCAATTCCCAGCAGCCACGTGGCAGCTTACACTGCCTGTAATCCAGCTTCAAGTGAGTCGACACCTTCACACTGCAGGCAAAACACCAATGCATGTAAAATAAGAATAAATAAATCATATTTAAAGATGAACCTGAACCCAGCCCCAGGCGAAGACATTCAGTGCTTTCTGAAGCTTCCTTGCTCTACACACGGTTGACATGTTAGTGGCCCCTACTCTCCCTCTCCTCATGCCAAACTCGCCCTGGTGATCACACTTGCTCCTTCAGAATCATATACATGGCCTTGACCCCAGCTCTCCTGTCCAGCATCAGAGCTGTGGGTCACTGTCCATCAGGTTTACCCTTTGGCCATTCCCAGGCCACTCCCACTCAGAACCCCAGCTGCACCCCATCAGCACCCTGCCTGAGCTCAACAGCCACGGCCTCCACATCAATACTGGAGCAAATCCTATCATGGCAGTCCCAAGTGAGGACCTTCATTTGTCCCTTGTTCCCTTCAGAAGGAAGTGGCCTGTCCAGAGCACAGCTGTGGGTGGGCTCCCAGCTCCATTCCTCCATTGCTGTCAGTGTCCCCAGGCACCATGCCTCCAGTCTTTCTGGCCCTTCACTGACCTTTCCACTTGTCCTTACATCTTTGTACATTTCCAGTTCAGACCAGCTCCACAATGGTGTTACTCATACTTGGCCAATTAGACCGCTTAGTAGGGCAGCTCACACTTTTGTTTCTGAGACCTTCTTTGGTATATAGGGCTGGGTTAGCATCGTTCTGAACTTGATGCTGCCAGCTTCATCCCGGTCAAGATCTTTAGACTCCATCTCTACTCAACTGAGCTGGTGCCTGGCCCACAGCAGCATTCAAGAACTACCCAGGGACATTTATTGAGCTGATATCATCATTGAGCTAGCTTCAGAGCTTTAGTTAACTCCCACCCAAACCCACTCTTAAAGGAGCAGACAGCGCTCAGACTTTGGCCTCCCCACCTCGCACTTTGGATTCCGGCTCTGTGACTTCATGGACACACCATCCTAGAAATGTTCTGCAGCCTCTCTTGGCTGCATCCTTTCCCCTCTGTAAAACAGGGAAACTCAACACCAACATCTCCAAGCTGTTTGATCACTGGTCAAGCATGGAGCATGGCCAGTGCTGGCTGACATTCAGTGGTCCTGAGTACAGATGAGGCTGGTTGGTCTTGAGTGTCCGCTTGACAGGGCTGAGAGACACCTAGAATATTAGAAAGGCACTCCTCTGGGTATATCTATGGGGATCTTTCTAGAGGTGACTAGATCATGAATGCTTTAACTTCATCAATGGTTTGGTCCATAGTGGACTCAAAGTTTGAACAGACTTACAGGAGGCCTTGGAACTGTAGAGGGTGAAGCTGTGTTGAAGAGCGTAGGTTATTGTTGCCCTTGAAGGGTCCTTCTGGGTACTCCTTGCTGCTTCCTGGCTGCAGGCTGAGGTGAGCAGGTCTGTTTTAACTGTGTGCTACTCTGCCTCTGCCTCACTATAGCCCCAGCAACGGTGCCAAGTCACAGTAGATCAAAACCTCTGCAAGTGTGAGCCAAAATAAATCCTTCCAGAATTGTCATCTTAGGCATTTGTCTCACAATAGAAAATGACTGACACCAGGAGATCGCTGGGTCTTCTGAGGCCATTGGGTCTTCCATCTCACGTGGCCTCCAAGAATCTGAGTTTTTAGATTTAGATCTCATCTCACCATGGTCGACACTGTGACTCTCTTCAGACGTTCTGGAGAGAGCTGTCATGAATGAGAAATGGAACTCATCTTTCTGATTGCTAGCCTTTTGAATATGGGCAGAGGTCTGTTAGGGGTGAGAAGGGCGGAAGGCACACCATGCTTCCGAATCCTCAACAAAGTTGAAATCTAGCCCCAATCTAGCAAGGGATCAGTCAGCAGTTGTCTGAAAACTCATCAAAAACTCAAAGAGCGCAGTGACCTCTCCCAAAATGACTGGAACCGTTGAGGGAGACTCAGGTCCCTGCCATAGAGAAGACTGGGCCCCGAGCTGACAGTTTCAAGAAATAACCAGCTAGCAACCTGCTGCCATTTACTGTCAGGGAGTTCTCACAGACCAGTGACTATGTGAGGGAACATATGTTAATTGGTTTAGAATCAATAACTCCACATGGGAAACTAATTTCAGAATCATTCTGTACTTAATTTATACTTGAGGGTTTACTAAAAAGACCTATTACTTAAAACCAGATGGAAATTTCTGTGGCCAGAAGAAACAGACCCAAACATCTGTTTCACGTCCACCCCCCTCCACCCCCCAGTCCCGGGCCCACACACCCTCCCTCTCCTTCTTAGGATCATAGTTTAGCTTGCCTAAGAAGCACCTGATTTACTGCTCCACCTCAGGGGCTTCTGCACCCCTAAGACTTAGGTGGGAACTGGGAATTTGCATGTCAAATGCCTTCTGCGTCCCTGGAGCTGCCCTGGACACCAGGCTCACTAGCTTTGAGAAATTCTGT